CTGCTACACCCCACCCCCTCCCTGCAGGCGTCCCCGGCTCCTAGGTCCCCCACCCCCACTCCCCGCAAGCCCCGCAGGTTGCGGGGTGGGAGGGGAGAGCTCGCCTGGCAGGCGGGGCTGTGGGCGGGATACCAGGGCTTGGGGCGAACCCAGAAATCTGGTTTGCAATCTACCGGGTCCCCTTCACGCTCCTATCCAAATTCTTAGTACGACGGAGTTAAGGAGCAGACTTGAAACCGAGTGGCGCAGCCAGAAACTAGACGGGCTACAAGACAGAGCACATGAGCCTTCCTCGATTTCCCTGTGGCCCTGGGTCGGAGACCGAGCGAGGGCGGTACCACCACGGGAGGGCTGGGGGACCGAGCCAGAAGTCCCGCCCGGTGAGCAGGGCTGGGAACCAGGGTAGTGCCAGTGTCAAGAACCCGGCTGGGATCCCCGCTTCGCTCACCCAGCAGGACCTTCCTTTGGGTCGTGGCGCGCACCCTTGGGAATTTTCTGGCTGCTTGATTCCTTGCCTTCACAAGTCCCTGGCCCTGCCCTCCTGGGCCTGGGCACGAAACGCCTTCCGCAGCAGGAGGCTCCGGGCTTCCCTTCCCCGCCGTCGGGGATCCTTGTCGAAGCCCCGGGAGACCTGAGCAACCCGCTGGTGCGACAGCCAGGGCCCAGCGCTCCGGGCCTCACGGTTCCCCCATGGTCCTCTTCGTCCAGCCTTCCTTTTGCGCCTTTGCGCCCTCGGAGCCCGGGTCCCCACCACCCCGTGAAGCCCGCGCTGATTCCCTGAGGTCAGAGGAGGGAACGTTATGCGGGGCAGAGGAGCGGAAGAAGGAGAGCTGGGGGTGGGGGGTGGGATAAGGATCTGGGGGGACTCGCAGCGTGTGAAGGGGCGGGGGTGTCAAGGGAGAGGCGCGCAAAAGGTGCTCAGCAGACCTCCGGGAGGCGGGGGCCCGAGCTCCCGGAGCCACCGACAGCCCCCTTTCGTCCTCTCTGCCCAGGCCCTCTCCGGCGCCCTTCGCGCAGTGGCGGCCCCCGCTCCTGGCCCAGCTCCCCGCCCCAGCGGCTTCCAGCAGCAACAGTTGCGGGGGCCGGCGGCCCAGACTCCCGCGTCCCCGCACCGCCCCCTCCCCCGCGGCGCCGGACGCCCAGCGAAGGAGGAGCTGGAGGGCTCGGCGACCGGGGAGACGAACGTCTCGGGCGCCTCACCCGCGTCCTTCCCTCGCGTCCGCCGCGCGCCTGTCACCTCGGCCTCCCTGCCCCGCCTCCCCTCCGCCCGCCCGGGTCCGAACCCCAGGCCCGGTCCCCGAGGGTCCCGGGTCCCCGGCCGCCCCCTCCTCGGGCTCCCGGCGCCGGCCAGACTGTCCCCGGGAGTCCCGGGTCCGTCTCCGCCGTCCTTGCCCGCGCGGCGCCCGAGCCCAGCCCCAAGTTGGCGGCGAAGTTGGCG